CGCCGGGCAAACCTTGCACCAAAGCACCCAGGAACCCCCCGTCCCATCCTGTCCCCCCACTTTCCACCACCAAAGGGCAACAACCCACATCAGCTCTGGTGGCAGAGTCGGGGCTCTGGGACCTTGCGAGCTCTGCCCTCAGGCTTCAGCAGCCCCCCAGCCTCCAGCAGCCCCCCAGCAGCCCCCCAGCCTCCAGCAGCCCCCCAGCAACCCCCCAGCAGCCCCCCAGAGGGAAGGGGCAATCAGAGGACCAGCCCCAACTCTGCCACCAGAGCGGGGTGGGTCTGGGTCCCCCCTTCTCTCGCTCCCTGGGCTGGGGAAGGACCCAGCTCCCTGGCCCTGACCCCCACTGCCCCCCTCGCTCCCTGGCCAGGCCCCCCCGGGCTGGGTGGAAGCCCCCCAGCACTGAGCACCCACCTGAAGCGTTACAGGGGGACAGCCAGGGTGTCCCCACAGGGACAGAGTTGGGGGGACAGCCAGTAACCCTGCAGGGGACAGACTGGGGGGGCAGCCAGCACATCCCCATAAGGACAGACTGGGGCGACAGCCAGCACATTCCTACAACAACAGTCTTGGGGACAGCCTGTGTAACCCTGCAGGGGACAGTCTGGGGGGGACAGCCAGCACACCCCCATAGGGACAGACTGGGGGGACAGCCAGCACATTCCTACAATGACAGCCTTGGGGACAGCCAGTGTAATCCTGCAGAGATAGCCTTGGGGACAGCCAGGGCATCCCCACAGGGATAGAGTGGGGGGACAGTCAGGGCATCCCCACAGGGACAGCCTGGAGGGGGGACAGCCTTTGGGACAGGCAATGTAACCCCACAAGGACAGATTGGGGGGACAACCAGGGCATCCCCACAGGGACAGCCTTGGGGACAGCCAGCGTAACCCTGCGGGGACAACCTGGGGGGGACCAGGCAGGACATCCCTATGGGGACAGCCTCGGGGGGGACAGCCCTTGTAAACCCACAGGGACAGCCTGGGGAGAGCCAGAACACCCCCACAGGGACAGACTGGGGGGACAGCCAGCACATCCCTGTGATGACAGCCTTGGGGACAGGCAGTGTAACCCTGCAGGGACAGCCTGAGGGGGAGAAAGTCCATGTAACCCCACAAGGACAGCCTGGAGGGGGGACAGCCAGGGCATCTTTTCAGGGCTGGCCTTTGGGGACAGCCAGCACATCCCCATAGGGACAGCCTGGGGGGTACAGCCAGTGTAACCCCGCAGGGACAGCCTGGGGGGGACAGCCATGTCATCCCCCCCAGCCAGGACCAGTCTGCTCCCTCTTCTCCCAGTGCCCTCCGCTCAGCCCCTCAATGCCAGAGCACGGCCGCCCTGGGGCTGGGCTTTGCCCAGTCCCACTAATTAACAACCCAATTAGCGTTCCTGCAGCAGGTGGCCTGAGCTGACCCCGCAGGGCTTTTTTCCCCCAGCCCAGGCACCGTGGGGAGCCAGCACCCACCCCGACAGCACCCTGGGGTGGCTGGAAAACAGGCTACCCCCCCCTCCCTGCACCAGGGAATGAGGATATCAGCTTGAAAACACATCTGGGAGCCTCTGCCCACCCCCTCTGCCCCCCCCACCCCCAGCACAGCATCCGGGGGGGCTTTATTCCGACCCGGATCCCCCGAGCCCAGAGACTCTGGTGGAAGATGCTCGTTGGGGAGGGGGGCTCCCCGGTGGCCCCCGCCACCAGCCAGAAAGGTGCCGGGCGCAGGGTACAAAGTGGTGGAGTTTTAATTACTCGATGTACAACAGCACGTCACGCAGCCATACGCGCCCCC